AATGAGAATGACCCCCATGGGCTCATATATTTGAATGTTTGGTCCATAGTTAGTAGAACTGTTTAGAAAGGATTGGAAGATGTGGCCTTGTTGGAGGAAGTGTGTCACTGGAGGCTGGCTTTGAGGTTTCAAAAGCTCACACCAGGCCCAGTCTCATTCTCCCTGAGGTATAAATTGAGGGTAAGATGTGAGACCTCAGCCATTGTTCCTTTCTGCTTACTGTCTTGCTCCCTGTCATGATGGCCATGGACTCTGAAACTCTAAGCAAGCCCCCAATCAAATCCTTCCTTTTGTAATAAGTTCATGGTCATGATATTTCTTCACATCAATAGCACAGTAACTAAGACACATAGCCTCTGCAACTTCCCTTATACTCAAACTATCAAGTTCTGATCTTCAGGATGAAAGCCAAGCTTTGTCCCCAGATCTGCCTCTTGGGTTTACCCTGGTGCATCTGAACCTTCACTGCCAGGCAGGTTTTCAACCAGACCTGGACGACGAGGCACCCTGAGGAAAATGAAGGCTGGTTCTTTTGTCATTATGTGGATAGTTAATCCAGGGGAAGAATCTGGACTTCAAGTACTAATAATGACACAATTTCTGATTTGTCTTAGTGTTTTTCAATCTAGGGCAAACTGAGGTCTTTCGTTTAACTGTTTTTTTGTTGTCGTTGTTGTTGTTGTTTGTTTTGTTTTCCCAAGGAAGGCATTTTTGTGGAGGAGATCAAATGGTCAGACCATCTGCCACATGCTTTTCAGTTTCCCCTTCTCTCCTTTCCATTTCTTTCTGATTTCCAGGTATTTGGAAGACAAATGTGACTGTGTGCTTTTGATCCTTAATAATCTTGTTTCTCTGTACCAGCAGGAAATGCTAGCTTCCTTACCTTTTCTTGTGAATCTTCTCTTTCTAACAACTAAGATCTGGGCCAGCATCAGGGCTGGAGGCCCCAGGATAAGAATTAGGAGAGAGAGAATGGAGAGATGGCTCAGTGGTTAAGGACAATGGCTGCTCTTTCACAGGACTCTGGTTCTATTCCAAGCACCTACATGGTAGTTCACAACTATCTGTATCTCCAGTCCCAAGGGATCTGAGTTCCTCCACTAGCACAAGGTGTTGCACATGAGACACAGACACAGACATCAAGACAAAGAAAAACAAGAAAAGAAGGCAAAAAATAAAGAAGAAAAGAGAAGAGTAAGCCCTCAAGAGCCAAAGAGGGGGTTGATGCTACAGACAAGAGGAGCCAATTTCTTATTCTAATCTTATGAGAGGAATAAACCACTGACTGGTTCAGGGGCTCAACAGGACTTCAAGATGCCCATTTGACTGACTGGATGAGTCTAATGTCCATGGGAGCAAGGGACCTAACAGAAAGATTCTGGACTCAGATAAAATATTCCCATGCAAGCGATACACTGGGTAAGTCTATTACTGTATGCTAATTCCCAAGCTCATATCCACATGAAGAATATCTCAACACGACCTGCATTTTCAGAGAAATTTCTCAAAAATGTTGGCATTATTTTCAGCAAAATGTGAGCTCTTCTGGAGGAAAATATAAAAATATTTTTCAAACTTTTTTTTTTTTGACACAGGGTCTCACCATGTAGACCAGGCTAGCCTTCAATTCACAGAGACTAGATTGCCTCTCCAGTGCTGGGATTATCAGGTTTGTTGTTGGTAGTGGTGATGATGATGGTGATGCTTTCTTTCTTTCACTTTGGTTTGTCTGTCTGCCTGTCTGTCTGTCTGTCTGTCTATTTGTTTTGGTAGTGCTGGGAATCAAATTCAGGGTCTTATACCTATTAGACCGAATAGGAACCAGCTCTTAGAATGTGTGTGTGTGTGTGTGTGTGTGTGTGTGTGTGTGCTTTAAGTAATGATTGACTAGTAAGTAAGAATATAAACTATACTATTCAGGGTACATTACCAATACAAATCAAAAACTTTTCAAACATTTAAACTATTTGAACTAGTCAAGACGACAGAGACAGAAAACAGAGAAGTAGTTGGCAGAGACTGTGGGAGTTGAGAGGAAGCCAGCCGGGAGTTAGTGTTTAATGGGTACAGGATGTTGGTCTGAGGAGATGAATACATTCTGGGGGTGGATGCTGGTGATGATTATACAGCAGGGTGAATCAAGATACATTTCCTGAACTAAAAAAAAAAAAAAACAGCTAAAATAGTGCATTTGTTTTATATATTTAACTACAATAAAAAAATTGGAACTCTAGGAAAAATTTTAGTGTGGTAGAGATATTACATAATATATTTATATTTCTGTAATCTCATGTGTAGAAGAAAAGGCTTGGAAAGATATTCTGAACACAAAATGACAGATATCACCTGGGTGGAATTCTAAGCTGTCTTTCCTTTCATGTGTTTCTTAATGTTCTAATAACTATTCAGTATCTGTATAACTAGAAACAATAACGTTTGGAAGCGCTCTGCTTACAGGTCGATCTCCTAAGCCCTATGGTTAGAGCAACAGAACCAGTTGTAACCCGCAAGCACACTGTGTAGTTACATCCCTTGAATCGTCTGGTTCCCACCTCAAATGTTAAGCTCTGCATGAGCAGGCCCCCGTCTTACTCGCACGGGACCCATAATGCTTAAGCAGTTTCAAGCACTAAGTAGGCTCTTTACAAATACCCCAGGGAAGCAAGGAGTCTGGGTATAAACACACAGGTGAACAGAAATCAAGTTCTTTCTGTCCCCACCTGGGGCTCCTGCTTCCATAACAAATACCGAAACTGAGAAATTTATGAATTTCTCGTCAGAAGATACTTCTTTAGGTCTTGGGAGCTGGGAAGTCCAAGGTGAAGGCACCAGCTGACTCAGTGTTTGGCAATGTCTCCTTTCATAGAACAGAACCCCTTGTTGTATTTTCACGTGGAAGAAGGGGCGGGTAGCTCCCTGTATCTCTTTGAAAAGAGCATTAATTCTGGCAGCTGTAGGAATGATTACAGGAAGGGTTTCTCAGGTGCCAGGTCCTCTAAATGAAGCCTAAATAGGTTAACTGGGTAGAAAGTAGTCTAGAGGGGCTGGAGAGATGGCTCAGTGGTTAAGAGCACTGACTGAACTTCCAGAGGTCCTGAGTTCAAATCCCAGCAACCACATGGTGGCTCACAACCATCTGTAATGAGATTTGATGCCCTCTTCTGGTGTGTCTGAAGACAGCTACAGTGTATTCATATATAATAAATAAATAAATTTTTTTTTTTAAAAAAAGAAAGTAGTCTAGAATCTATGTCATTTAGAGGATGGCCCAAAGGACATAGGAATGTGAAAAGCAAGGTATGAACAAGGGGAAATTCTGAAACTACCTCTCCTGGACACTGGAACTGCAGCCAGGCAGGAGCACACATTTAGTCAACGAATATCCACCAAGCCTCTTCTGTGGTTCAGGGACTAAGGTAGGTGTCATGAACATAATTATTTGTCATTTGCTTGGCATCTCACAAAAGATGATAAGATCTCGCCTGATGCCACTAACTTCTGTGTTCTGTGCTGTTGTATGCTTGTTTCTGTGTTCTGTGCTGTTGTATGCTTGTTTCTGTGTTCTGTGCTGTTGTGTGCTTGTTTTGTTTCTGTGTTCTGTGCTGTTGTATGCTTGTTTCTGTGTTCTGTGCTGTGGTATGCTTGTTTTGTTTCTGTGTTCTGTGCTGTTGTATGTTTGTTTCTGTGTTCTGTGCTGTGGTATGCTTGTTTTGTTTCTGTGTTCTGTGCTGTTGGATGCTTGTTTCTGTGTTCTGTGCTGTTGTATGCTTGTTTCTGTGTTCTGTGCTGTTGTATGCTTGTTTGTTACAGCACTTGAGAGACTGGACATCTCTACTTTCAGCTCCTTTTTTTTTCTCTTTACTTCCTGTGACATTTGTGCAGCTACGATCACTAAGCATGGTTCTAAATGGGATACCAATGATGGGTGAGGAGAAATTTGGAAAGGCAGAATTGAATGCTTCCTAAGACAGAGCCTGTCTACATGCCCTCCACTGCATTTCCTGGAAGCCTGGGAATATATGGGTCATTTTGTTATATCAAAAACCTATTTGGGTCTGAATAACCTAAGAATATTTTGAGATAAAGTTTTTTTTTAAACCACAGCACAGGAATTAACACATTATTGTATTCTACAAGTCTCCTAGATGGGGAGGTCTTTTTCCTTAGGCTTCAGGATAACAGGACCTTTCTGTGTCTAGAACTGCATGGGGTGAGCATCAGGAAAGGTTATTCCTTCTCGATAATGTAACATTCACCTTTAAATAGGAGGCTCACAGTCACAGATCCAGATGGGAGCTGTGGCAAGCCTCTGAGGTACACTTGGCATCCTGTCCAACAGATGCTGAACCCTCATCCTGAACCGTCTATCAATCCATTCCCTCCCTCACCTCATCTCCCTCCCCGCACAGCTTTCCCGGCAGCTGGTGTCACTTAGCTCTCCTTGTTTTAAAGTTAACCCTAACAACAAAGCACGCCTTGTACTGGTGTTCCAGACTTGAGTCCAACATTACAAGGACTCTGGTTTCTTAAACTAAACTACATGGAGTGATTCTGTGTAGAGGTCCACCCACGTCATTGTACAAAAGGGGGTGGGGAGGGGCTACACAGACAGGTTCTTGTGTCAGAGCCTAGATGAACAGGGTAGCCTGGCCTGGATGATGTTGAAAGTTCTTGCATGGTCTTATTTTGTGAGATCTCACTGATGTGTTGGAGACACTTAATGCCTTAATTCTAGGCACACCTTTAAACACTTTGGTACATGAAAAAAATGGTTATTTCTGTAGACTGAACCACAAACCACTTTGTAAGTCTTCATATATAACACCAATACTTTCCTACACATGTCTGAAGCTTTTGCGCAAGGAGATAAAGCCATTCGTCAAGGTCAGTGGGGCATCCCTCCCCTCTAGTCACACTGGTGACTTTGCAGACTTCATAAGAGACCAGCGGTAGACTTTAAACTGAAGCCCCTTAAAGGCCCTCCAGTTTTAATCTCTTACCTTGTAACTTGTGTTCTCATTCCAAAATCCAGGGACCTCATTGATTGCAGCACTTCAATGCAGCCCATGTACTAGAAAAAAAATAAAGAAGTAGGTCACAGATATAGAAGATACAGAAGCAGCCCCTTTGAGCTGCACAGTGACTTCCTGGGCAACATCCATGTTGGCTCCAGAGAGCAGCTACGTGTGAGCATATCACATGTGTCCGTATCTCTGAACACCAATGTGCACATACATCCCTTTGGCTATAAAAACAGCAGCTTACTACAAACTAAATACAAACTCAGGCGTTGGGAATGCAGATGACAGGAATGATCCTAGGCTCAGAGGTTGGGAGTGTGGATCTGAGATCTTCACACTGTGTATGGTGCAGACTCACATACTAGCCTTGCCACATCTTCACTTTAAAGTCCGAGCTAGTGACCAAACTTTTCCACATTGGTTTTTGTCCTTGGTAAAAATGAAAATTCAATTAGCATTGCTGTGAGAGCTAAATTGTTTCACATATGGAAAGCTTTTAGGACAACGCTTAGTAGGCATAACTGTACAAATGTCAGAGGAAGCAAAAATAAACAGGAAACTAATAACACAGGACTCTCCAATCTCCTAAGTGCCGGAACAAGCATGTAATTGCACAAAAGACAGAATTTAGTAACATTAAGAAGGCCTTGTCATCTTTTGTAAGATCACTGTAGTTAAAAGAAAAAAAAAGAAAAGAGAAAGAAAGGAAGGAAATAAAGAAAAAGAAAAAAAGGAAGGAAGGAGGAAGAAAAGAAGGAAGGAAAGGAAGGAAGGGAAGGAGAGAGGGGGAGAGAGGGAGAGAAAGAAAGGAGGAAAGGAGGAAAGGAGGAAAGAAGGAAAGAAAGAAAGAAAGAAAGAAAGAAAGAAAGAAAGAAAGAAAGAAAGAAAAGCACACCCCCAAAAACAGGGCTTTGGTAGGCTTAGCTTGAACAGGGAGTACTGGAAAAGAAGTTGTGACTTTTAAAGCAAAGGGAGCCAAATCAGGGATGAGGGTAAAGAGGCTTGAGTCAGTGTGAAGGCGGGTAACAGTGAGAATGTGTAGTAGGATGCTCCCTGAGAGAGGGAAGTAATGCTGGTCCACTCAGAGGAGGGATGGTACCGATGAGGAGGAGACAGATTCAAGTGACATCACAGAAAGACCTAGATAGCACTTGGCAGTTTAATCTGCTACATATAGTACAAAGTAGAGTGAGTCAAGGATAACAGTCTCTTGCAGCCAGGGCACAGAGGAACCAGGAACGTCATTAACACGGCCAGAAGGGCCAGGAAAAGAAGGTTGGGAATTGTTTTGGCACCCACTGACTGCAAGACACTGGTTGGAGAGCCAGGAAGTAACAGGCTGACAGCTGACAAAGGAATTCAGTGTCCCTAAGAGGATAAAGCAGGACAAAGCAAAGGGAGGGACAAGAGGAGGACACAGTCACAGCTTTCTAAGCGTCTTTGCAGGTGAGGCTGTGGGATCCTCAGAGCAGCCATTGACTCTGGAGAGGCAACACTGAAAATTGCCTTGGAACACTATGAATGCCACGTGGTGTGGATGAAAGGGCTCTCAGGTCCACAGAACTTGGATGCTTCCTGTTTTGCTCTCCTTCGGAAGCTATCCAGCCTCCCTTGGTGATAGGAAGAGAAGGGGGCACTCCTCAGATTCCATTTTTTTTTTTTTTTGTAGTATTTCTGAGTGGAGTCTATAGATGGCTCAGCCCAAAATTGGCTTTGTGTTCAATTGCTGCTGTAAGTCTGATGTGGGAGAGACCTTCTCAGCCAGACCCCACTAGTCATGCTTCTCATGGAGTGTCTGATACGGACACAAAAAACATCCTATATGCTTAGTTCTTAATCCCTAAGGCTCAGGCACTGTCGGGAAGTGAAATGTCTGGAGACAGAGACTGACAGACTTTTAGACTTACTAGAAATAGGAAGGTCAGTAGAGAATGCTGGAGTCCATGCTCCACAATGGGGCTGATGGAAAGGCCACTCTGACTACATAGCCCTCACTGTCCTCCTCACCCCAGAGCCTGACTCACTCACCCCATCTCCTACACACCAGTCTGGGGAAGAATGGAGTCTATACACAAGTCAGGGAGCAGGACTGGGCCACACTTCCAATTCTCCAGGATGCCTACTTGGTGATGAGGTGGGTGTGTTCCCTGACAGTTATAAATCACTAACTCAAGATAATATGATACATTGATCTATCTGTACATGCCTACAAATGTGGCAGATGCTACATGTTCATGCTCTGACATAGGGATTTATAAAAAAGTAAAAATAATATATTAATAACTTACCCTTGCTGCTTAAATCTCCTCACATCTATTACCAAAACAGAATCACTACTGTCAACGCCTAGACCTTTGCTCCCTTACTGAGTGCCCCATTCCCAGACTTTGATGTGTTGGCCCCCATCCTTGTCCTCAACTCTTCCCAATTGCAGGGCTTCCCACTTGCCATTCTCCCTGACTAACTCATCTCTCTCCACTCTACAGGTCTGATTCTTGTTCCTCCTGCAGGTTTTAATTGATGAGGATGTCCTTAGGCCATCGTCTGCTTCTCATGAGCACAACTCTCTTTTGCCTCTTTAATGTCACCATGGATCAGATTCATCTGTCAATTTGCTTGCTTCTTCCTTGGCTGTAAACACTGTACAAAGAAGGGCCTGGGACCGTGTCCAGAACCCAAGAGTACTCAGCAAAAGAGAGGAAGAAAGAGAGAAAGAAAGAAAGAAAGAAAGAAAGAAAGAAAGAAAGAAAGAAAGAAAAGAAAGAACACATATATTAGTCTACAGTAAGCATCTGGTGCTCTACTGTATGTACCTTTATTCATTTTATTTTTATTTTTTTCTATTGTGCCTTTAAAATGAGTAGAGAGAAGTAACAGAGGGAGATGAAGGTTTGGCCAAGTCTCTCCACCCTGTGCCAAAGGAAAACAAGAACATCAAACTCTCATTTTAAAAAGACTTGAGTGCTGCCTTAATTTCTACTGTTGCTGTGATAAAGTACCCTGGCCAAAGCAACTTAAGAGAGAAAGGTTCAATTTTGACTCTCAGTTCAAGGTTACAGTCCATCATGGTGGGGAAGTCAAGACAGCAGGGGTTTGAAGCACTTGCTCATAGAACAGTCATAAGCTAAAGAATGATAAACAATTGTGTTCAGCTTCCTTTGTCCAGCTTATGCAGCCCAGAATCCCACCTAGAGAATGGGATCGCCCACAATAGACAGGTCTTCCTGCCTCAATGCAATTACGATAACTGCATCTGCTACCTAGACACACCCAAAGTCCTATCTCCCAGGTGATTCTAGATTCTATGATGATGATGATGATGATGATGACAGTATCATCACAAGTAGAATAGGCCATAGGTTGAGATGCTACCACTGGCAGGTGTCTGGATCTCATGGTAATATGCTCATGGGTAATATATTTGTTTTTCTTCAGTCTCTGGAGACAACCAGCCCAGACATGAAAGAAAGAGGGCCATCCCCAAGGTTTCCTTCTTAGCCACACACACTTTGGGTTATCAGCTCCTACCTGTTTACCTCTAGGATGGACCCTGGCATTGCTATGGGAACATTGTCCCTTCTGATGAACCTCCATGGCTATTCATGCAGTTAGCCATCAGTATTGGGGTGAAGACACAGAGTTCTAAAGAAAAAGGAGTCATGCAGAGGTGGCCATCAGTGAGGACAATTCCCCTTCCAAGGCTGAGACACATGTGGAAGAAGCCACAGTGAACTTTTGCCACATCTAAAGCCCCAGTGGAGTTGGGGAGGGAGCAGTACCTAAAGAAAAATGTGTCTATTTCTTTGTTTAGGAACTTCTGAACCTCAGAAGTAAACAGTTGCTGAACTGAAAGGCCTGAGGGAGAGGTTTGTTAAGATAAACCAGAGATAACAATACCTCCCTTTGGTTTATTAAATTGGAACCTAATCTCCCTTTGGTTTATTACATTCGAACCTAATTTCTGTTCCTAAAACAAAGGCCACCTCCAAAAGAATGGCCTGAATTTCTTTCTAGAGGTGACTCATCATTACCTCCATCAGAATAGACAAGAAAACAGAAGCCTATTCAGAACAAGTGCTTGGCTTCCTCTCATTGGTTCACTGAGGCTGAATCACAGTTTACTCTATACCAGCGGTTCTCAACATGTGGGTCACTACCCCTTGGGGAGGGGGGGTGTCACATATCAGATATCTTGAATATCAGATATTTATATTACAATTCATAGCAGTAGTAAAATTACAGTTATGAAGTAGCAACAAAATAATGGTATGACTGGGGATCACTGCAACCTGAGGAACTGTATTAAAGGGTTGCAGCACTGGGAAGGTTGAGAAGTATTGCTCTAGAGCCTCTGCAGCCTGATTACTGGGACCTGGTATGGCCACTTTTGGCTCCTGCTCCTTTCCTTTGGTCTATCCAGTAATAGTGATGAGCCAGGGGCCATGACTGTGGCTGCAGACACTGGGGATGCTTGGTCAATGAAGAGAGGGTAAAGGCGATTCTGTATTTCTGTGTATTGCCCCTTTTCTTTACAGTTCTGGAGATGCGGTCCCTTTGCTAGGACCTGAGAATCACTGAAACAGTAAGACTGTCCTTTTTTTTTTTTTTAAGTAAATCTGTAGTATTAGAATTTTTTTAAAAAAACCCTAAATAAATAGACTTAACATTTCATTTGTAGGGACTACAGCTTATTAACGAGAGTTAAGGACCTTTGAACCAACAGAAAGGACCCTTCTGTGATGATTAGTGCTTGTCAACTTGACACAAACTGGTGTCACTTGGGGAAAGGAAGCCTCAGTTGAGAAATTGCCTCCATTCATTAGCCCATGGGCATGTTGGGGGTACATTTTCTTGATAAGTGATTGATGTGGGAGGGCCCAGGAAGGTGGGCCTGGGTTATATAAGAAAGCAGGCTGAGCAAGTTACGAAAGCAAGTCAGTAATTCGAGTTCCTCTACAGTTTGTGATTCAGTTCCTACCTCCATGTTCTTGTCCTGGATTTCCTCAACAACAGACTCTAACCTGTAAGCTGAAACAAATCCTCTCCTACC